AAGAGGAACATCAAAGGGGCGAAAAATCGAGAGGGAGGGGGAACAGAATAATGATTCACAGACGTAAAAGAGACAGACAGACACAAAGGTAGAAAAAAGGTGAGGTGAGTACTGTGAAATTAGTCGAATATGAAATGCAGTGGGGTCTAAGTAGTTTGAAATCAGAAGTCAACTGCCGATTAATAGACTTTTTTGCCGTATGAGTATACGTTGCCCAGGGTGCACCACGTGGAGGTAAGTCTATCTCACACCCCAAATAAGAGCCTGCGGACACTCTCGTGCCGTGGCGCCCGAACAGGGACACGAACCCTGGACCCTCAGATTAAAAGTCTGATGCTCTACCGACTGAGCTATCCGGGCCCTTATATGAACATTGTACTTAAAATTTCCAGTAGGCATGTGATTATGAAATATGTGCAGAGCCTTTGAAAATACAACTGAGTACTCCTCAATGTGGATGCCTATGTTGTAGGGCCTCTGCTTTTGGCTTGAATGTCACCATTCTGACATGATGTAAGGTTTGGCTATTTTTTTTAAATCTCTGTTATAAGAGAAACTGCCTGACGCGGCTGCATAGTGTGGCAAATACGTTGCACTTTAGCGTATATTCATGGATAATTAAAACAATTTGATGAGCTCTTTTTCGAATAAAAAATTTAGTAAATAGCTTTCGAAGTCTTTTGATCCTTTGAAATTTTTCCAAGTGTAAATGGAGTTGTGAATCTGGAGTCCCGCGATCACACCTATTCTTTTCACATAGACAATAGTGAATTGCGCGGGATATCCGCAGCATTTTTCGTTAATAATATGTTCGTAGACAGCTGGGTTCAAGGCATCCACATTAAACAACGTTATATGTGTAGGAATCGTGGTTGTTGTTTATTACATGTGTAATTAAATTTCGATATAGGGGTGTGAGATAGATTTACCACCACGTGATGCTTCCTACCCAACGTATACTCATACGCCATAAAGTCTATTTACCGGAAGCTGACTTCAAACTACCAGGGCTTCACTATATGCTATATTCGACCACTTCCACAGTACTTCCTCTCCTTTTCTCCATCTTTGCGTCTGTCGGCCTCTTTTACATCTGAGTCACTTCACTCCACTTTTTATGACTTTGTTTTTCTCCCCTCTGTGAAGCCAGAATTCAACTAAAGGACTAATGATAACTATCAAAACGCCTGCCATTGGATATTAATAGATTATTATTTTAGCATTGTGGGAAATAAAGAGTGAAGTAATTAAAAGTATTAGTTATATATAGGGTTTATGAACGTTGCTCCTTAGCAAAGTTTGCTATCTTTCAATTGGACAGGCTTCTGTCATGTTATTTAGTACTCTTTGATGTTCAAGTGACTTCTGGCGAAAATGCTCATTTCGATGCAAAGTTTCATGCGGTCAAGCAAAACTCATAACCACAACAGCGGTCATTGAAGGGTTTAGATGTGCAGGCAGATGAATCTGCGTAAATCGAAATTTACATGCTAATCAAGTAATTCCATTTTTTGTCAATCTTCCTGTTTTTAATTTCTCAATTTTGTATTTGTTTATTTCTACATGATTCAGCAGGTTGATTTCCATGCGTCTGGGCAACAAATGAGGGCGCGCACACACACACACATCAATTCAGTTGATAGCCACATAAATTTCCTTTATTTTTCATCCATGCAATTCGATTCTTACAATCTCTCACCTACGCTTCAAATGGCCTCCCAGGTAATAATCGGGAAAAATAAAGCAAATTTATTGCAGTTCTTGTTATATAATACGCAGTTCTCAAAGATCAGTGCAAAGCGATATAATATATGGCCAAAAGTTCTTCAAGATTTATATTGGCTTTCATGGCCATAAGCCCCAAAAGCTGTAAAAGTCAAACTTTTAGGTAAGTGTGGAATCGTTCAGTAGTGGCCGCTTTTCTAGAGCACGCAGTTTTCAAATGTTTTTATTGACCTGCAACTTTGCTTTCGGAGTAGCACCTTTTTTTAACTCTGGTCTCCTTTAATGGGATTCTAATCACTTCTTCCGTTTAGTACCAGATCAACATCTATGTGATATCCGATGAATTATCTCCCAAATGGATTCCCGCTTCCACGTGCGTGCTCTTCCATCTAACTTTGTGATGAAGAAAACAGACCAATGATAGCTTGACGAGATTACTCTATCTAAAACTGGACAAAGTATTTTATTGAGAGAATGAGTGAGACAGAAAAAACTGCTAAGCGAATGTTCTTTCAAGATTCTGAGAATTCCAAAACGAGTATTGTAGGAAATTGAGATGGAATATAGGGTTTTGAATATCATCACTTTGAAAAAAATGAATTTCTCATCTACCACAAAAGTAGCAAGTTGAAAATAAATGGTCTTAGCGTGGTTTAGAATCCTAATAAGTGTTAACTAGGTCTCCAGAATCTAGGATCTATTTTAACAAAAGTATTAATGTAATAACTTATTGCAACTTCGATCCTTATAATTATATATTAAGTTCTATTTAATATCAATGATAAATGTCATTCCCAGATCAGATCTACGCCTCTGCTCTTCCCCTCCCCCCTTTGATAAATTTAAATATGAATAAAAATGTAATGAGTAAAAATGCATCGGGATAGGTAATTATTGGTCATTTACTTGATTGTAAGAACCAACTTATATATTAGATTAGAAGGTTAATTTTAATTATAAAAAGTGTCGGTCATGCTGCTTAGAATTTACAATTTTCAAATAATTATATTCCTAATGTATAATCAATAGTCATGTTATCTATTTTTATCTAACATAAGATATGACGAAATCTGACACAGAATTGGGAGATAAATTCGCGGATAGTAAACTTAAATTTAAGCCAGCTAGTTGGCCTAAAATAAACTTTCAGAACGAGGTCAAAGAGGATTTAATACGTTCTTTCAATATTTTCGATAAAGATGGCCAAGGTGTGATCAGTCTCGATGCGGTAGAGGTGATATACTATGCATTTATTTTACTTAAACGGTTTTCAGTAGTACTTTCAATTTTATGAAAATTGTGTCAACTCCAAATTTTTCCATTTAAGGTAGCATTACGAGCCCTTGGGCATGATCTCGACGCAAAAGAAAGCGAAGTCTTGAAAGTGAAATTTCCAGACCGAACAGTAGTATTTAACGATTACATGAAAATTCTCTCCGATTGGATTCTAAATATTGATGAAGACCTTGATGTCTCGAAGGCATTTTCACTGTTTGATGTGGATGGGAAGGGGTACATAAATTTGGACGATCTTCGAAGGGTTCGAGATCAACTGGGATTCTTGCATGAAATCCAGGATGATGAGCTTATTGAAATGCTTATTGGAGCTCAGGTATTCGTTGCTTTTCCATACATTTAAAGCGTTGCTTACAAGTTACCCAATAATTATAAGAGTTAACAGGAAAATTGAGTTAAAATTCTCATATTGATTTGAGATGCAACAGTGAATGGTCTCGAATTTGTTTCAATTGAACAAATTTGAATTATCTGGATTGAGAAAGCTGGATGAATATCGTCCATTTAGACTTGAATATTGTAGATTTTCGTCGGCCATTGACTCGGCATTTGTCAAAAATATATGCTGTGTTAAACTGCACTCCACTCCTACAATCTCCAAAACTCTATTGCCTTAGAAATTAGCAACCTATTAATCATATGTGTATTTTCATTAATTCCAAAATTAATTAATGATTATTGGAACAGGATAGTTAATGCTCATTCATGCTAAAGCACCTATCCTGTAGGCAGCTATTTTCCACTCAATGTGACCACTTTTCGCTAAACGATCGGTATTTGCACTGATGTTTTATATAATAAATGATTAAGGTTACTACTGTGATAATATTCTTATCGAACATACATTTAATTGAGAGATTTATAGCGCTTTCATTTAACCTTCAATAGGTAGAAGATTCAGCGCAGGAGTTGAAAGAGATCTATGCCAGTCGCCAGAACAAGACACGATTGCGGAAGGCACTAGATAACGGAATCCCTGTAGTTATGAATGGAGGCAATGAGACGGCCACGTGGAGTAGTGCCCCGTCTCTAGGCGCTATTAATCATCGACGCATGTCTTCTGATGACAACTTCAAGCCTTCAGAGCTCAGCGTTGACCTGGAGAAATTTAGACGAGTACTCCAGCTTGAAGCTCCACCTCCTGAGCCCATTTAACCACCACCACTTTCCCCCCCCCCCCCCCCCCCCCCCCCACCCTCCTCCCCATGCTCTTTTGGAAACAGAGTGATCTGGAAATGATAATATTCCCTATTACTCAAAGGGAGTAAAAAGAGTAAAAGGGGAGTGTTTGTGCTAGGTGATGATAGCTTTTGGGTTAAAACAAAGTTTAACCATATCTCAGACAGTAAATTAATGGCAAAAGACCTCTGAAAGAGGCTTTGATTAAATAAAGTTCATTTCCAGTCAGCGTTTCCTAGTCAAAATACCCACTCTTAAATAAGCTGACAAAATCCACACAAAAGAGCAATTCTCGCAGAGTTTTGACAACATAATATCGAAGGTGAGAAAGTGCACACAACTCCACTCCTTGAAGTATGATTCAGGTAAAATTAGTGTTAATAATAGTAAATGTATATCTTGTTGCCTGAATCTGATTAAGATTTTCTACTTACTCTAATCAGAAGTTGGGAAAATTAATGGTTAGGATTTAAGTGAGCACTAAATTTATCTAAATTAGTATTAAATTATAGAGATTACCTTAAATTTGACATCACTGAAGGTTTATTTTTGGTGTGTTTTGACCTTATATAGTGCTATTACTTAGCACCTATCAATTAAAATGAAATTTTCACTTTTAATCACCCATCAAATATATTGTATTTACATGGATTACTCTGGTAAAAGTCGCCTTTTAACCTAATGGCTGGAAATCATTTAATGTGCTTGCAATGCTCAATTCGTTCTAATTATCCAATTATTGATAAAATTAATGGGTTGACCCTAATGAGTTAAAAAATATTAAAAGTACTCTCAACTCCCTACCCTGGATTGCAAGAAATTGGGTAAAAACGCTGAGTAGTATGACCTACAAATCAATTGAGTTAAATTGCATAAAGATTTTTATGGTATTTATTTTTTTTTATTTAGTACCTCTGATCCTGAGACCAGATACTAGTAGAGTCGGATCAAATTATACTAGTTGTCCCTTCATCAAATTAATAATCGTCCTTATACTACCATGACACAGTGACTATTTTCCAAGTGAGAAAATTGAAAATCATATAGAAAAATTGGGAAACGGGATCCCTCAGTATTGTCAAAAATAGATTAATCGCTTTGCCACCATTGTTCCGACATGCAGATTCCGAATATCTCGAAGTATAACTCTACAACTAATAGATTTTTTCGGAATTCGGAGTAGTAGAACCACTTGTCCTTCAGAGAAATCATTCTACCTTATCTCTAAAGTCAAGTGTGACTAAAACCAGAACCAGTTAAGAGTCCATTAAATCAGTAAATTCGGTCGAAAGCAAATATACCCATTTCAATTTGCATTCTGTTCATTAGACCTCAGAGACATTACTCATCAGAATGATTCTCTGAGTGGGAAAGAAGCAATAAGGCGTCCAGTCATTCCACCGACCGACTGAATGTTCAGACAACACACAAAATAATCTGGTCATCCCGTTTTTCTGTCCCTTATTTCGAAGCATTGCTACTAATAGCCAACATATGCGCTAAACCAGTCAATGTAGACCTCTTTAATGAGGTAAATCACCTACTTCCGACTGATTTTACTTTGGAACCCGCGAGCTCTTTCGGGTGGCCAAGAAGAATTAGCCGGCAAGTGGTCGCGGTTTGTCTGGAGCTTCTTCTTTTCCACTGGAAAAAGGAACCAAGGAAACGTTGGGGCTGGGGGTGTGGGGGGGGGGTAGGGGTGGTGGTGGGTATGAGAGGATAGGGGACTGTATAGAATAAGAAATTAAAAAATGACGAAGAAGGAAGAATGATAATGATTTATGTGTTGTTATTTTTGACAGGGATGTTAGAAAAGGCAAAAAATCGTATCTGTGATGTGGAGGGGGGGAGGGGGGCAGCATGGATAATCCAATTACGCTTTGGATGGATAGAAGTAATTAGCAAATAAAAACTGGGCAGATGGAACAATGTGTGTGTGTGTGTGTGTGATTTATACACATTTGACATGGCTAAGAATGCAATAAAGTGTGAAAAAATTAGAATTTGCTATTCTTATCTAAGCAAGTTCTACGCTGTCAATCAAATGTCCATTCTCCTGGCACCATGTGTCATAATGCGAATATAAAAGTGTAAGATGGTCAGGTAACTTTAAACCATAATTGTAGATTTGAATGATCTTGAAATTTTCACCTTTATTATTACATAATAAATAATACTTTAGCACTTCCGTAATCCTCTTGAAGCATAACAAATAAAAATGCTAAATTTTTAGTGATTTTTATAAAATCCTAGAGGGAGGTTCTACTGATTGAAGTAGGTCCTCCTTGCATATCATAAAAAAGAGAACTATTATTCCTATTATTCTGCCTAAGTTGGTGCGGATAAAGCTATTTTTTATCTTTGAAAAGTGTGTGAACTAAGAGAGGGTGGGGGGGGGGAATGGTTCTAATAAGGTAATAAGAGGGGAAGAAATTAAAAATGGAAATGCACCGCAGCTAAGACATCGAGTCCCTTGACCTGTCCTAATTATGGAGGCATGTAGAGGTACACGATATTTTATTATATTATGTTCAAACACTGTGCAAGGTCTTGATACTTTAATTTCATCGTTTGACTTTCCTCCACGTGGTGCAACCTGGGCAACGTTTACTCGTACGGCAAAAAAGTCCATTAACCGGCAGTTGACTTCTGACTTCGAACTACCATGATCCCACTCTATGTCATATTCGATCAATTTCACAGTACTCACCTTACCTTTCCTTACCTTTTCTGTTCCCCCTTTCCACTTTTTGTGATGTTGATGCTCCTCCCCTCTGTGAAGCCAGAAATAAACTAAATGATTAATGATAACTATCATAAAGCCCGCCAATTGATTTTAAAAAATAACTAACTAAACTTCCAGCTTCACTATGCCTATATTCCGTTGACTTATTTACTGGTTTCTTGTAACAGACAAATCAGCAATGGTCTTATCACCATGTTCATTACTAATTACAATTTATTTTTAATCGTCAATATGTCAATTAATAGTTACTCTTTATTTTGGAGCCTCTTCCGTTCCTTGATGAATTATCGTGCAATTCTCGTATTAATATTTGCCCTATAGTATGAGAATTTACACTGGCACACAATATTTTCAATAATTCTCTTTATTTTGCGTCAGTCAACTGCAAGTTTTCAGGGGAAAAAGTCCGGACGCGAGTGCTGAATCACGAGGGAATAAAACAAATGCTATTCTTCGAAATCGATGCAATTAAACAGATATTCTACTTTATTTACAATAAACAACGCACGTGGAGTAAAAATTTTGTCCCTTCTAAAAACGCTACAAAATTTCGGAGCTTAAGGAAAATATATGATCTTTGGATGATTTGTTTGTCTAATTTAATCAGTAAGGCAACTATGTTTCGTTATTTAAAGGCCAGTTAAACAATGACCTTTCACCGGCTACTATTTCAATGCATGTGTGACACATTGGGTGGTATCAATTTGTTTCTAAACTAACTCTTAATTACTTGTTCAAACGGATTGGTTCCCGGCTGCACAAGGACCAATGGTGACATTTACCGTTCTTTCCCAGTTTTTAGTACGTTTTACTACCCACATATTCCAAAGGCTGGTGTCAAATGAACTCACTGATACTATTTTAAAATATTAATTAGATATCCTTGATTTACTCATTACTACATTTCCAATTCAAGAATCTTCGTCTATGACAAATTTCATTCGGCGTTTTCTTTGATCACTTTGAAATTAACTTAACCTACTTGTAAATAGCTTATATTTCAAAAATACAGCTGTCAAGGTCGTTTTTCTTTGATTAAATTAATAATGCCGAGGAGGTAGTAATAAAATCTTGCATTTTAATGAGGTGAGAAATACTCGCTCCCTCCCCCTAACCACCACCACCACCACCACCACCACATCTTGATATTTATCAACAGAATCTATTCACAGGCGCAGCTGTTATTTTGCCTTTTATGCCATATCCACTGACTTCAAATCTCAATAGCCACGGAAAGCGATAAAGTTCTCACCTTCTCCCTCCTCCCCTCCCCTCCCCCCCCCCCCCCTCAATTCTAAAATCAAAGCAGTACGAGGGACCGTACGAATGGTAAATCGATCAGCGAAGAAGAAATATAGGCGACGCTTAAGGCCATCCGTGAAGTCACGCTTGTATTTTAATGTATTCAGATTAGGGCTGATAATGGGAAATCTCAGTGTTTCGTATTTTAGCATTCATCTCCAGTTCCTCATGAATGCTGTACGCAATTATAACTCAAGAACCACCGAGCATATTTATTTACTAGGGCTCTATTTGAGAGAGGGAGGGAGAGACAGTCCTGCTAACATTTCTTTATATATTCTCCATCTCCGAACCTCACGAACATGAGTTTAACTTGACGTTAAATAGATAGGGTTTAGGAAGATCCTTTTAGGGGGCCAAATAACAGTGTTACCAGACATTTATTTCAAATGGGGCTGTGCGATAGACTTACCTCCACGTGGTGCACCCTGGGCAACGTATACTCATGCGGCAAAAAGTCTATTAACCGGGAGTTGACTTCTGACTACAAACTACCATCGCCCCATTGTATGTCATATTCGACTACTTCCACAGTACTCGCCTCACCTTTTTTCTACACTTTCTACCCTCGTCTTTGAAACACCCTTCTGTTCCCCTCCCCCGTCTCGACTTCTCTGTGAAGCCAGAAGAAAACTAAAGGGCTAATGATAGTTATCAAAAACGCCTGACATTTAATATAAATAAATTGTGAGAGAAAGATAGATGCCGAAGTGATTGCTCTACAATGTGTCATTATTCACCTTACCGCTTATTTGTTGTCATTGTTCGACCTACATGTTACATGTCTTTTGTTCACTCTATTTTCTAATAAAACGAGATATTCTACCTACTTTGGAATTATATCTACTTTGTGATTTGTAATATCCGGGAATGTCATAGATTGGAAATAGGCAATAGACGATCTTCCGATAATCGTCCTTGAAGTTAA